CTTTCTTCAGCATTATTATCACAACCTCTCACACCCTTGCTACCTTTCTTTGAGAATTTTTCTTCCCCTGCTACTCCATCAGTTCCCATTAAGAGCCCATCAGTGACTTCTATAATAATGCCATTGTTTCTCTTCTGTGACTCCTGCCCACAAACACAGCTCAATAGAAGCCCTTCTTCCCAACTGATCCCAGCAACATCCCTCCATCAACAAGGTATAGGCCCCTATTAGTCAGCTGTTGGTAAGCCTACAGAACCAGATGCACCACCGGGAATAACAGGCTGGTAGGACAGAGCTAACCAACTTTCTGAAGGAGGCTCAGCAGCTCTAATCCAAAATTACAGATGCATGTTACTTGACAAAGAGAAAGCTTTCTGGTAAGACAAGAGAAGATGGTGAACTGGAGGTTGTGATAAACTGCTTTTTACAGCAGTCCTCATTCCTGGCTCCAATATTCCTCACTCCAAGATAACTATTTTCGTGCATTGAAGACGAACTACTATTACTGAAGCAACAACAGTTCCCATAGCTGCTCTGCAATTTTGAAGTCTGCCAAAAATAAACATGAAACTACACTTGAAAGATATAACATACCTAGAATCAAATACAGAAAGCATTCCTGAACAAGGCAAAAGTCAAATGCTGTTTATATCTCTGACCACACACACAAGCTGGCTAGGGACAGAAATATAAGAGACTTCATCTGTTCATCATCTGCACAAACTGAAACAGACTACAGAAATGTTTGGGCTATAAAAGAGGAAACATGAAACAAGTCCTAGATTATTAACAAAGCAGCACAGAATGGTTAAGCATCCAACTTTAAAATTATGTCAGTAATCAGCACCCACAGCAGATATTCCAGCATTTCCTTCAGAGACAATTTAGGCATGAAATAGTTAAACAACTTATCAAAGATGAGGGGTGATCACTCGGGGTTAAAGCTTAGGACTTAAATTCCTGGCTCCCAGCCTTGGACCCAGACTATGAGACTTCTACATATCTTTGGATTACATTTGAAAGAACATTTAGATAGAGCAGCTTGACTCTTTTCCTTCTGCCAAGTAATTAAACAAATTTGACTTAATTTGTTCTGAAGCACAAACTCATTCCATTAAGCAAGTGTCAAGTTTTCAGAGACAGCTTAAACTCACAACTCTTACTCGTTTCCAAGTGGAGTTGCCATTATGCCACATCTTAGAGAACATAACAGGAGAAGAGTAAAAACAAGTCCCAAAACAACAAAACTGCTGCAGAAAAATCTTCGTAATCCTTTTCTATAATCATTCCCATAAAGGAAACTTCCATTAAGAAAGCATGGTAATGTCTGCTCTTAAGTGTTTCTGGACAGCTAAGTCTTACTTGCACTGAAACAGTGATGGCACAGAAGAAAGAAAAAATAAATCCATATATTACAGATGCTTTTGATAACCTGATCATTGAACTTAACAAGGCCAATGACTCTGTGTTCTCCACTGGAGAAGTCCTGTCTAGTCTGCTGTCCTGGCTCTGGATTCTCCAGAGTACACAAACAAGCTGAATACAGATAGGTTGTAAAACTGGGCTCCAGCAAGACAAATGTGAAATTAAGAAGGGAGGAAAACTTCTGTTGAGCAAAGAATCAGCTATTTCAGAATCAGAGGCAGCACAAGCTACAACACTTACGCAATGGACTGTTAAATCAGAAAAGGGCAAACTTTTGCCATCAGTTAAAATTAATGACCCCAACTGTAAAGAAGCTGACACTCAGACTTCAATTTATAACTCGATTTCTGTGCTTAACTTTGTGATCAGATAGGGCCAGGGCACATCTTACAACCGCAGATAAACTCCATACATACCCAGAGAAGAGAGGCTACTTCTTGGCTCCTCGCATCCATATTCCTCAAGCTAGAAAAGCTTTGCCACAGCGCAATGACACAGGCAGGCCCCAGCTATGAACTCATTGCCATCTTCTTTCCTCAAGCTTTAGTAACAGCTTTCCCTCCTCCTTCCCTTCCACCCTCATTAGCTCTAAAGGAAACACTGTCACATCCATCTATCACACAGTGCTTAGAAAGCCAGAAAATTAAAAACTATATGTATCAGAGTTCATGTTTCAGCCATCAAAGCCACCAAATATTGACTTTGTAATAGACAGCCATTCTAACCCAAGTATCTAACAAATTATAGGTTATGCATATTATGTGAAGGTTATGAGGTCAGATCTGACCTCAAATATACTGGAAGCTACGTACTAGCATTCTTAGCAAGCTTTTTAAAGTTGCTGCCGCTATTACTGTATTAAAAATGTTATTCTCCTTTGGCCTTTTTTCTAGGCAACATTGTAGAGAGACCACTGGTCTTGCATTCTACTGATTAACGCAATTAAATGCCTTTTTATTAACCCTTCTATTAGCTTAGTTTAAGCGAGCTTTCCAATATAAATATTGCAACACTGTTATTAACAGGAAGAAAACAGAAAGTGAAACCTCCCATTTCTTTCAGGTTTGTTTTCTACACTTTTAGTGAAGTTTCCGCATTCCATGACAAAAGTTAGTTTTCAAAATTTGAGCTCTAAAGCCATTCAAAAAAAACCAAAACCACAAATCCACACCCTAGGTACTACCGTACACAAATTGATACTGTCCTCAGCCACAGACATGATTAGAATCCATACCTGTCAGCTTGCAGTCCACAGTGGTTAAACAATCATTTAAGTTTTGAACAGCAAGATTTTCTTTAGCTTTAACCGTGGTGCCTGCCACAAGAAAGCAGACAGAAAGGGAGGGAGGGAGGGAAAAAAGGTCCTCAAACTACACTTAGAGCCACTGTCAACTTGTCCTTGGGTATTTTGGAGGAGGACCAGAAGCATGCAAAGCTGCTGTTCCAATTTTGCAAGAACCACACAGGGCTCCGTTTCATTAAAGTGAACCTTAAAGCCAGAAATATAGCTAATAAAAGGAAAAATGCGACCAGCTTGATACATTAAACACCCTTCCTACGGTATCACAGGGAGACATTACGAAGCATAACAAAAACTCAAAAGGATCACACGGAAGCTAAACTTGCACTTTGATTAGACAGCTGGCTTTCAACAATCTCCAGCGTGAATTGTGGGAGCTGAACACACAGGAAGAGGGGAGAATTTCAGCTCAACAACTTCATTACAATCAAGCATAATACCAACCTTGGGACCTCTCTCCAGAATCTCGGCATTTAAATTTCAGCATGTCTTGCAGTAGGATATCAAGGCTCTGGGGTTTGCACCTTAAGACTTATCCTAAGTCAGCTATAGCTGGCAACGAAACAAAACTTCTCTTTGCTCTTTGGGTCACGAAATCAGTAGGGTACACCTTCCATAAAATCAGAAATGGACATTCTCACAATTTTTTGGAAACCATCCTGACCAGCTTGCTGAAACTGAAGCTAGTTAACTTGGTTACAGTGAAGGCTTCCCTGAACTCCACCCACTATGACTCCAGCAATACACAGTACAGCTGCTAACCTGTCAGGAAGCATAAGGCTAGCAAGTCATCTTTCGTAACATGAAGTACAATACTTCAGAACAGCTAAGGAAGTTAAGGACAGACTATTTCCTGACTTCTGCATTTCCAGTTCCCTGTAAAAGCCACTTGACCGTAAATATATATATATACATATATAAAGTTCATTACTATTACACTCGTGTCACCATGTCCATTTTAATGAAGAATTATTTGCGAGCACCTGCCACACAACCACAACTTCTTCAAGATTTGTACTTAATTAAGGATTTAGTTTGATATGTAATTAAAATAAAGGTTACAGAATTTAAAGTCTGCTGGGGAAAAAAAATTATACTACATTTAACAGTAGTTTTGAGTTCAAGCTTTAAAATATACTTCCTGAAGAATTTAAAATTAAACTTTAAAAAAACAGTTACAGCTTTCTTGTTTCCATAAGCCATCTTTCAGCTTGTAAATGACAGGAGTCTTTGAAAGTGCATCATTTGCCATATGCTGCAGCTAATAAATAAAACCAAGTCACTTATGTTTATACTGATTTTTGGGCCTTTGGAAGTTAATTTGAACCACAAGTCAAATGGGGAAATAATGCAAACTGTAGTTACTGCTTTTCTAAATATAACACTAATCTCACTTGTAAGTCAGAGCATTCAAGATCTATTAAAAAAAGAAAAAACCCTAGGAATTACATAAGTGACAAGGCCAACCGCTTGCAAAAGAAAAATTTTAACTCATGATCTTACAGGCTGTGTTGTGCAAACAGGAATTTATGGCCAAAGAGATTTAGAAGTCAGCGGGACTTTCCTCAAAAAAGATCGCAGAAGAAATTTTGCTCTCTAGCACAGCGATTGAGCAGCCCAGAGAAAGCACGATTCCTCTAATGATCCCCAATCCCAGTAAAAGAAAATAACAAGTACTTTTTTTGCAGTCACAGAGGCAGCCATCTTAGTGTAAGATGGCATTTGTCATTGCCAGCTTAGAAAAGTTTTAGGCAATTTCCAGTATTATTTCAAACACAAACCCCCTCTTTACTTGGTAAGTAAGCATGCACAAATATTCAGATTTCTTATTCTTCTGCTTAATAGAAGCTGGGAAGATTGGGAAAATTACTTGATCTTTATCTAGTACTTAGATCTTCAAAGAGTACAAACATTAATTAATTCTCACAACACCTCCCTGTGGAATGCAAGTATCACATTCCCCATTTTGCAGATGAGGAAAAAACACAAATCAAAAGCTGAGTGACAGGAAAATCTTAACTATCTTGGAAAACAATTCCAGCAAAGTATTTAAGAAGCCTGGATTCAGCCCTTCTTAAAAGTGTACTGAACAGTAATCTCAAACCATAGTTTAATCCTGAATCTGGGTATCTGAATGCACATTAAATGTATACTTACTTTGCTCAAGTTGCATACAGCAACACTGAGATACTTCAGTAAGATTGCATTCACATCTCCCTGCCTAAGGAGTAGCTAAAAAGTCAGAAAACGTTCAGTAAAAAAATATTGCTCTTACCTTCTGCTACATCATCATCTACAGCGCCTTTCACCTGAGAAAAACACCACTGAATGTCATTTCCTCCTCCAGCTCCTAAAAAAGACAAACAAAAAAAATGAGACCCCCCCCCACAGCAACACAAAGAGCACACAATAGTTACCAATTGAAAATTTCAGACAACATTGTACACGCCTACTTCCTCAGCAATGCTGTCGGCACAATTACAAATTGCCCCTCCCCACCTTTTTCCTTTACAGATATTGTTTTTGTCATTAGTGGCTTGCCAGCGTTCAATGCAACGTTTGTCAAAAACAGTGTAAGCGTAAGCAGTAACAGTGATAAAAGCCTCTATCACCAAAAGCTCGCTGGACTAAATAACATTGCTAGTGCTAACTTTAGCTGCGCATTTAAAATAAGAGTACGTGAACATCTTATTTCACACGACACTCCTTCCTACTTTTAAGTCGGGACCCTCCACAAACACACACACACACACAAACCGTAACCGTCAGAAAAAGCTGTACGTTTTTGGAAAATTTCAATCATCCATTCAATATAAACCAAGCATGCTATTCATTTCCTTCTTTTACAAAAACGTTGAACTGAGCCTACATACTAAAGGCTAAAGAAAAAAAATTTTACCACAATTTTAGAGTCTCTTCGCAGAAGTAACGAAAGCAATTATCAGCCTTAAAAAAGCAGCAAATCCGAGCAGAAAAGCAAACAAGCAATCTGATGTTAACAAGTTCTACTACCATAGAAAACGGATCGAAGAGAAAACTTCAGGAACATTACTGCCTCGGCGGAAGGCAGTGATTCATTTGAACCCTGCCACCAAAACACACAAAAAATCACCACCCATTTCTTTTGCATTTCATTCTGAGCAAATCACTGCAGGGCTGAGTACATACAGGAAGAGACTGAAATGGGCTTGCCTTTTTTTTTTTTTTTTTTTTTTTTAAAAAGCCACTGTCAAAATGGAACTTTTCCTCAACACAATTCAAACAGGCTGAGCAACAGATGGCATTTACACATTAATCCAGAGCTCTGTTACGGCTTTTGGGATAACAAAGAATAAAGAAGGGACTTCTTCCCTCTTCTGCGCTAAGTTACAGAGGGAAAAAAGTCAAAGACAAGGAAATCAGAATCACGAAAATCATCTTTCCAAAAAGGACCAAGTATCTCAGAAGGTTAAGAGAAGTGCTGGAACACAATCAGCGACCAGTTTGCATTTTTTGCTTGCCTTAATTTCTATTCCAAAGGATTAGAGACACACAAACTACATAACCTGACAAGGTGAAGGCAAGTACAAGCATCCACCTATGCAAGAGATGTCAAAATGCTTTTTGCAGATACATTGGAAAGGTTTGCTATTGCCCAAAATCTGTACAACCCATTTTCTTTCCTCTCTCCAACCTCTTCATTTGTCATTTAGCAGCTGGCACCATGAAAGCACTTAAAGGGGACAGCTTGTAAAAAAAAAAAAAACCACAACCAAAAAAAAACCCCCAAGAAAACCACACTGCTCTTTCTACTTAAGCCTATAATTCTATTTTTCATACAATTTACTTGAATCAAGTTGGCACTTCCCCCCCCCCAAAAACAAAAAGAGAAGGGTGGAGCATGGGCATATAGCGTAGGGGAAAAAGGCAAAGCACAAACCTAGTACAGCCTCTCAAGCTTGCTCCTCCAAATGCAAAGTGCTGAAAAGACAATTCATTTGCAGAGGAGGGGGATAAACGGAATCGCAAGGAAAACTAAGGAGGAAGAAATACCTTATGCATACACACTTCTAGCCTACCAAGAGCACTTTAGGATGCAAAATGGGGAGCAAGCAGAGGAAGGAATGAGAAAGAAAACACAGTGAGACCTGTGTTATTTAATGACATCCTGTACCCAATTTTACTCTCGTTTGCAGACGCTTAAAAGCTGCACCCTACAGAAGGGTGCAATTCTACTCTCGACACAAGCACGTCTGCGCCCTGGAACACCTCTCCGTGCACAGCAGCACTTCTTCCACAGTCCTCACTAACTCCACCTGAGAAATAAATGCAACATACGAGCACGTATACAAATTCAAAAACCCCGGGGGGGGGGGGGAGCAAAAGACCCACCCTGTCTGCAAGCCTCCTGCATACCGAACTTCAAAATACACGGCTTCCCCCATGGAAGCCCCTCCACCTCGCTTCTCTCGTGCTTTCACCACCACCCCCGACAAGGGAGGGAAAGGAAGAAGGGGTGGGTGGGAAAAAAACACGGTTTCCCAGAAGGGGGAGGGGGGAAAAAAAAAAAAAAATAATAGAAGACCAGGAAGGCGCAGGCGAGGCGGAACGGGAGAGCGGGGCCGGGGAGGGAGCGAGCGAGGCAGGGGCAGTCGGCACGCCGGCAGCCGGGGCTCGGCAGAGGCAGCCGGCAGGCTGCGAGGCGTTCCGCCGGCGGGGGAGAAACCCCCGGCGAGCGGGGGGCAGCCGGGGGAAGGGAGGCGGCGCTGCCCCCGGCCGGCAGCCCCGTCCGTCCGTCCGTCCGTGCGCCCGTCCGGC